AGTTATTAGTCTATTTGTGTGCACTTGTACATAATTTGCTCTTGCAAGGTTATCATATAGATTTTTTCAAAATATTTTTCATTGTTAATAGCTAACTGACACATTATAAAGAAGTGTTAGACAATTGTAAGATTTTGATTTAATTTATCTTTGATGAAATTAAGGGAATTGTTAATAGCATTAATTATTCAAAATGCTATCCTTACATTCACAGCTTTATTATTAGTTTTTAGCTCTTAACTATTGCAACACTGCCTTAAGTCTTAAATTTGGCTTTTCCTGACAAGCTAAAAAATATAAAAGGAATTTTAGATGCAAATATATATCTTATGTACTGCAAATGACGCCYCTATTTATAAAATTCTAAATTTTTATTTTTATCATTTCTTTTTATGCTATAATTGTCTTTTACATTGATAAATAACAAAYATAATTGTATAATATAACTGTTGATAGCCAATAGTAATGATTAATGAGAATAAATTATAGAAATTAATAAATTGAGTGTCTTTAACAAATATTTTGAAGTTTATTTAATATCCATATTTGTTGTCTATAATTATTTTATTTATTTTTAGGAGATATCGTTAGAAAATGACCCAACATGTTTATATCGTGTAGCACAAGCAATTGTTAGTCTAGAAGACCTTTATGGACGCATTGGTCGTGTAACTGGCAAGGGTCCTGTTGTCAAACAAGTTTGGGAATTAGTATCTAAACTATCTTTAGAACCTCGCAAAGCTAATTCTAAAGCTAACAGAAATTATAAAACAATTGATCATCTTGTTTTAATTGACCGTTCTGTGGACTTAATGACACCAATGGCTACCCAGTTAACTTTTGAAGGACTTATTGATGAACTTTTTGGAATTGATTGTTGTAAGTCTATTTTAAATAATAGATTTAATTGATATAATCATTGTTTAATTATGTTTTGTTATAGGTACTGTAGAATTACCAGCCGACAAATTTGTTTCTGAAGAAGATAATGTTAATACTCTAACACGTAAAAAAATTGTATTAAATTCAAATGATGAGATTTTTGCTGAAACTAGGTATATTTTTCATTAGATTTAGGATAATTCACTATTCAATCAGTGTTTCCCACCTTTTTGGAAGTTAAGAGTTTTAGATTGCATTAAAAGCTTTTGAAACAGATCAACTTAATTTTACCCTTTTTTTTTTTTGCTTATAACTAGGATAAYTTATAAAGCTATTTTTAGATTTTAGAATAAATAAAAACTTTAAATTCATACCAACTCTGTGTTGTTACTTTTAATGTTATTTGTGAATTAACCTTTTATCAAGTTTTAAGCTGAGTACATAACATGTGTTTCCTACGTTAGCTTTTTTATATTGTAATAATTTATACRCTCGTAACTTACAAACATAATTAAAATAACATTAAATAGCCAATGTAAGGGGGTCAAAGGTAATGTTCTTGATTTAAAGTTTGATGATTGGTTTAATTCACTCTAATATTAAAATAATATCACAGAGTTTGTTAGGTGGTGT